TTTACCAAAAAGGGGACCGTCGAGCGAGCATTCGAACTAAAAATAGAGTAAAATCGACCCTTGTGGTCGTTGACTCTCCTTTGAGGGTCGTTGACTATCTTTGGCTCTCCCGCAGGCTCGCTCGACCCGAGACACTTGCCCTTTAAGGCACCTGTTCTCGGGATACAAGTGTTACGCCCTTCCTTCGGCCCATCCTTCCTTGGGCCTGGACGTAACAATAGTTGGTTAGATTCCGATATCTTTGGCGCCATAATGTAAAAGCAAATTCTGATAGTATTTTTAATGCACAACATGGGAAAAATAGTTAAAAAATTCTACGATCAATACATATCATTAATAAACAATTTTAACGTTAAACTTTTTAAGTTCAATATAAGCTTCATTTGAAATATATCGTAAATGTACATATAAGACTACATTATACACAAAACATTGTCTACATTGTGACACTCTTGTTTACATTTTATAATAACGCTCATCCTTGACATACATATTTATGTTTAGTACTCTGCAGCAGTTAATACAATTCACACTTTATCATGTACGCAAATATTCATCCTCGTCTTCATCCAAAAATTAGTAAATTTTTCAATTTTTCATTCATTTCACGATATTCTTTCTACAAATGAAACCACGCAAACTTTTCTTGAGGAACTGAGACTTATTCCTTCTCCTACCTCGGCACCGCCCAATTGTTGCGGATTACCAATGAAAGTTAAAAAATTAAGTGCTTCAAAATTAGGATGGATATGGCGTTGTTCAACAAAAACAACGAAAAAGAAAGGTACAAAATCTTGTCGTAAAAGCATAAATCCAACCGAAAATACATTTTTTGAAGAAACAAAGTGCAAAATTAGTTTACAGGACATCGTTGCAATTTTAATTTGTTTTGTTCTACAAATGAAAGTTACCGAAGTCATTCAAAATTTACGTTCATGGCGTCATCAACGTGGTGATAAAGAATCATCAGTTCTCATCATGTTAAACCATTCGGTGGCAAAGATAAAACTGTACAAATTGATGAAACATTTTTAACAAAAAGAAAATACCATCGAGGCCGGCTTACAGAGCAAATGTCCATCGTTGTTTTGGGTATCTATTGTAAGGAAGATAAAACTGGCATTTTCTTTAAAGTAGATGGAAAAAGTAAACGCGATTTATGGCCATATATTAAGAAGTTCATTGATCCCAAAACTTCTAGAATTTGTACAGATAGTGCGAAACAATATCATGGTGTTGAAAACGTTATTTCATCTACTTGTACACATCATACTACGAATCATAGCATCGCAGAATTTGTAGCAGCGAATGATTCTACAAACACAATCAACGATCTAGAATGTCAAAATAGACTCCTAAAAAAAGCAATTGTTTCTCGAAAAAACACTGCAGCATTATATCAATATATGGCATTATATTATTACCGGAAAAATATATTAGAAAAAGAATATCAACATGACCATGGATCACAAATTATGCACTTTTTTGAAGACGTTGCTAGAGTTTATCCTGGTTGGATAAATGGAGAAAAAAAAGATATACTTACTTTGAAAAATCTTGAACCTTTTCCACAAGATATTAATAATATTGAAGATAATTTACTAAAATCATCTAAATATCAACATGAGCTACCAATTAATGAAGAGTTTAATTTTGAAGACAGTTCTGATGATGATGCTGATATTCCATCATTTGATTCATTATAATCAATAATAGTTACTACGTTACAATATTTTATTTCTATTCTAAAAAAATCATTATGTTAATAATTATTTAAACAAAACGTTATTTACTACAAATTAATAAATAAATTCATTTGTTTCATACATTTACAATAGTTTGATTTATAAGTAAAATTTCGCTCTTCCTCAAGAGTACGTACGTAACAATTTTCAATATCGTAAAAAAAATCAACAATGTAAAAGTGAATTATTGTTGCATCTTATTTCAATATACAAAAGATACACAATGTCAAACGAAAACGTATATAGATTATATACAGCGTCATTAAGATTAATATTGTTTATTAATGATATGTATTGATCGTAGAATTTTTTAACTATTTTTCCCATGTTGTGCATTAAAAATACTATCAGAATTTGCTTTTACATTATGGCGCCAAAGATATCGGAATCTAACCCAATAGTTTATTATAGTTTACCCTACTGAAAAAAATCACATCACGAAATCACGTCACAAAATTAGATAATTAAGTCACGTAATTAATGACATAAATAAATAACGTAACAAAATGTTTCGGTACCTGGTTCATGTAATTTTAAAAAATTACGTGATGTAAGGAAATCATATTTATGAAATTTTATGTTTTGATCTAAAAAGGTTATGTTAATTAAATAATTTTTGTAAGGATTATATTGTATTAAAATTTAAAGATCTTGATATCTTCAAAAAAGGTAAGGTCTCGATATTTTTAAATTAAAATATAGAATAATGGAGTCTATTATATATATATATATATATATATATATATATATATATATATATATATATTAGGGTGGAGCGATGAAAAAAATTTTTGAATTCTTATATGCTCGGGGGTGAAAAAGATGCGATTTGTTGTAAAAACAATATTTGGAATATTTCATCTTGATCGGAGTTTATCTTCTGCCTCCAACTTTTATTAGATCTTAAAGAAAAATGTCCATTTGCGAAACTGCATGTGGCATTTATATTTATTTACAACTTTTAGCTAAACAAAATTTTTGTGATTACCCAGACTTCACCACGAAGAGGTAGCTGTAAATCGAAGTCCATTTCCTTTTTTTTAATTTTTTTAATTTTTAAAATTTTTTAAGTTTTGTCTTATTTTTTCAAGTTTTTTTTTATTTTTGTTTTATTTAAAATTTTTTTATTTTTCTTATTTTATATTCTTTTAAATATATTTAAATATATTTAAATGATATATTATTTAATATCTTTTTTTGTATTTATCATTAACAAATTTTAAACAAACTTTTTATTTTTAAGCAAATATATTTTTGTACTTCTTTAAATTTTTATAAAAAGGAAAAATTAATCAATTAATACAGTGGTCTCAAAGATAAAATCTAAATGAAATATAATTAATATAATTTAGGCAAGAAAAAAGCCACAAGGTATAGATGTAATATGCAAAAAAATTGTTAGAATTATTAAAATAACTTGTAAATTACAGATGTACACGCAAACGTTTCGATCTATTCCAGATCCTTCTCAATGCTAACATAATAGAAAATACAAAAAATATAAATATAATGAGTGAAAGGTCGCTCGCAAATAATAATGTTTGCAAAATTTGAATCGAAATACACAGTCAATATTCAAATTAATGAAAAAAAATCGGTGCAGATAAAATATTCATCAATGTAGCGGAATATACAATAATAAAATCGAAATATATAATTGTTCGCGAATGAATGCGTCGTTAGTGGAGGCGCGCGACACAGAGTTTGTAAAGAACACCACACGATTGAAATAAAGAACGAGCCACGACACGTATATTTTTTTGTATTTTTCTAGAGTTTTTATTTTAAAGACACCATACAATTAAATATAGAAAGTTAATATATACAATTATTTCACAGAGTGAAATGTGAGAATGGATTCCGTCCTCGGACTGTTGAGCGAAGTAACGAAACGGTTTTGTCGAACGCGGTTCTACTAATAGCAAGCAGTTTTACTGTAAGCGGTTTAACTAAGCGGCGTAAAGTGCGAGACTCGAAAAAGTGCAAGACTTCGCCTGATCCACGTGCGGTGCCTATTATATACCGAGCGAATTTTTGGGCCCGTTGCGACGTGGACCAATTGATTTCATAATTTGGCGGTGACCTTAGGGCGCCGTGCCTTATTGGCCACCGATGAGGTCAGGAGTTAGAATTTTGACAGTAGTCATGCGCGTGGTCCTTTTTGATCAGCTGATTGGCGATCAGCTGATCGTGACGTATGGGCGCGCATGCTCGTATGTAGCTTAGATTTTGTCGACGGTTGACAATGTTGTTGTCAACGAGCATGATTAGCGTTTCTTTAGGCGTTGAAAAAAAGTAAAACAACTTGAACGTTAGAGTTTTTCCTATCGATCGAAGGCTCGAGAAAGTTTTCGATGCCTGTTAAATTTAAATTTAGAAATTATAATTGCTGATTATAGCTTTTGCGGTTTATTAAATCTAGACGATTTTTATGATTTTTGAACATCCCGCCCGCCTCGTCAGTACATGACGAAACTCGCGAGTGTGTGCGGGTTTAGACAGGTGTCGCAAACGGTTTGATTGATGAATGGAATGTGATGATGACGTAGCCTATTGACACGTGTAAGTTAGTCTGCTGGAGTTTCTTGTGTGAATAAGTAGTGTGATGCAGTGAAATTGTACATCGTGATTTTTGTGATTTTGCTAGTGCAGTGAAATCAGAGCTGAGGTGAACATCGTGAATTGTGATACAAGTGACAGTGAGCGCGAAATTCTAAGGCGATAAATTGCGCGTAAAACTAGAGAACGAAAGAAAGATTGATAATGCGGTTTGTACAAAGTAACAAACGTGTGTAAATAAGATTACATATAGTTACGCAAAATATGATACAATTGAACATAAAGATTGACACGAGAGAGAGAAAAAAATAAAAAATAAAAAAAAATTGAGATTGCGACGGTGATCTCACGCGCTCCGTTGAGGCGATGGCGGTGCTTCGTTGGTTCCGGGCAGAAGGACGATTTTCACGATGGGACTTACGAGCTCGGATGATGCAGTGCGCACAGTGACCACGCGCGGTACGCCGTCTTCCCCGGGGTGTAGTGCCGTGATCCGGGCGAGTGGCCAACGGGTTGGAGGTGTTACCTCGGTGCGCACGAGGCACAGGTCGCCGATTTTGGGGCTGGCTTCGCTTCTGGCCCATTTCGGTCGTGACAAGAGAGCCTGGAGATATTCGCGGGACCATCGCTGCCAATAATGATCCCGCATTTTTTGAAGAAGCTGCCAACGTGTTAGCGTGTTATCCCTTTCAGTGGCTAGCGACGGCTCAGGGACGGGAGGGAAGCTCCGATGAAGAAATGTCCGGGTGTAAGTGCTGTCAAATCGTCCGGGTCGTCGGTCAGCGGCTGCAGTGAGCGCGAATTGAGGCACGCCTCCACCTGTGTAAGGAGGGTTGTCATCTCCTCAAAGGTAAGCGTTGCCTCACCGATGACCCTCCTGAGGTGATGCTTCGTCGATTTGACGGCTGCCTCCCAGAGTCCGCCGAAGTGAGGTGCTGAAGGGGGGTTAAATCTCCATTTTATTCCATCGGAGGCTGCGTAAGCGATGCGACGGCCGTCGGAAGTGGATGCGCTGAACATCGCTCGAAGTTCCCGGCTTGCTCCAATGAAGTTTGTGCCGCAATCGGAGAACACCTCGTGACAAAGGCCTCGCCGGGAGACGAAGCGGCGGAACGCTGCTAGGAATGCCTCAGCGGTGTAATCCGACGCTACCTCCAGATGGACCGCCTTGGAGCTAAAGCAGACGAAAACAACAATAAAGCTTGTGTGCTCGATGACCTCGCCCTTTCCCGGTTCGAATTAGAATCGGGCTGGCGTAATCAACCCCTGTTCGTTGGAATGGGCGGGCCGGAGTTACTCGTCCCCGTGGAAGGCTGCTCATCAATGGTTACGGTGTGGTGGCTCGTCATCGTGTGCACGTTGTGCAACGATGGATGGACCTTTTGACAACGGCTCGACCTCGTGGGATCCAAAATCGCTGGCGCAATGCTCCGAGAGTTGCACTCCTCCATGTAGTGTTCGGCGGTGGCAGGAGTCCACCAGGAGGTGAGCCACCCAGGATTCCGATGGGATGATCATTGGGTGCCGTTCGTCCTGAGAGAGGATTGCGTGCTTGAGCCGGCCCCCGGCTCTCATCACTCCGTTGTTGTTCAGAAACGGGCATAGCGAACTTCGTGATGGCAAGGCGTGATCTTTGCTCAATGAGGAGATCTCTGGACGGTAGTGCAGTGTTTGGGCTGTGTAAATCCAGTGGATCAGTGCCGCGTCGACCTCGTGCAGTTCAAGTGATGGTGCGGTGCTAGTGGAGTGAGATGTGGATGGCTTGGTGTTGTGTCTCCAGCGACGACACCAGGCTGTGACTCTCAGGAGCCGGTGCAGTGAGGAGAAGCGGAGGAGGATCTCCGGCTCGGTGATTACTCGGCTGACTGCGTTGAACGAGGCGGCGCTTCGTTGTTCGGGCAGCTCAACGTCGGTCACGCTGCAGTTATCGTTTGGCCAAGACGTTTCACCTTGACAAAGCCAGGCGGGCCCTGTCCATCACAGTGGATGATCGTTCAGCTCGCTTGGTAGGATTCCTCGAGATGCACAGTCCGCCGGATTTTCTCGTCCGGGCACGTGTCTCCATTGGGCCTCTGGAAGTTGTTGCTGAATGTGCGCCACCCGATTAGCAACGTACGTCTTCCAGCGGGAGGCGTGCCCTTGGATCCAAAACAGCGCGACCTTGGAGTCCGACCAGAGGATGACAGGCGCTGTGGACAGATTTAAGACGGTGCGGATGTGAACCGCGAGATTGGCCAGGAATGCGGTGGCGCACAACTCGAGTCGCGGCAGCGACACTGGTTTCACCGGGACGACCTTGCCCTTGGCTATGAGGAGGTGAAGTGTGGTCTTCCCTTGTGTCGTGACGCGGAGGTAGATGACGGCGGCGTATCCTCGTTCTGAGGCGTCGGCGAATCCGTGCAGCTCTACCTTTGTGCTCGGTCGCTGCTTAACCAGCGAGCGACTCTGAGTTTGTTCAGACGTGGAAGCTCGGAGAGGAAGTTCCTCCAGGATTGTGCATCCGCTGGTGGAAGAGGTGTGTCCCAATCCATTTTCTTTAGCCACGCGGAGTGAATGAGGATCTTCGCCCTCATGGTAACTGGAGTGAGCCACCCCAGTGGGTCGAATAATCGAGCGGTTTCGGACAGGACGCGCCTTTTTGTTAGTTCCTCGAAGTGACGTGCCTGTGTGGAGAAAGTGAAGTGATCGGTTGCTGGATGCCAGTGCAATCCCAGTGTGGAGTGCTCCGCTTGTGACCACGACGGAGGAGATGTGAGCAGGTGCTCCCCTGGTACTCCAGCCAGGATGTCAGGATGGTTGGCTGCCCACTTTCTCAGAGGAAACCCGCCCGCCGTGCACAGGCTGCGAAGTTCCCTCTGGAATGAAGTGGCTTCCGGCAAGGTACTGGCTCCCATAACGATGTCATCCACGTAAGTATCGCAGCGCAGCGCGACAGCTCCGCGTGGAAATCGAGGGCCTTCATCGGTGGCGAGCTGGTGGAGGGTCCGAATTGCCAGGAATGGTGCGCACGCTAGACCGTACGTCACGGTCTTCAGGCGGTATTCGCTCACCTCGTCAGCGAGGTTGTGTCTCCAGAGGATGCGTTGGAAGTCGCAGTCCCTTGAATCAAGGAGAATCTGGCGGTACATTTTTTCGATGTCTGCCAGAAATACGTAACGGTGCCACCGCCAGCGCAGGAGAATGTCGGCGAGGGGTGGCAGGAGGTTGGCTCCGACGAGCAGGTGCTCGTTTAAGGAAGTGCCGGATTGCGTACGTTGCGACCCGTTGAATACCACCCGGAGCTTGGTAGTGGTACTGGTGTCCCGCAGCACTCCATGGTGCGGTAAGTAGCATACTGTGGTGTAGTTTTCTGTTGTGGTCGCGTTTACTGCCTCCATGTGTTTCAGGTTTTCGTACTCCTGCATGAAGGAGCGGTACAGACTGCCAAAGTGAGCGTCTTTTGAGCAGCGACGTTCCATAGTGTGGAGCAAACGCTCGGCTGGTTTGCGGGTTTCGCGTAGAGAAGGCGGTGGCCCAGTGAACGGAAGCCTTACGACATACCGTCCTGATGTCGTGCGGCGGCAAGAGCTTACGAAGAGTTTTTCGCATCTTTGTTCTTCCGGAGTTGGAGCGACAGGAGCGGAAGGTTCCTTCTCTTGCTCTCAAAACCGCTGAACTAGGTCGTTCAGCTCGTGGTCGACGGAACATTGGTGAGTGCTGGGGCTGCTCTGGAGTGTGGCCCTGTGACCTCCTGACAGGATCCATCCAAGCGACGTTTTTTGAGCTACGGGCTCGTCCTTGCGTCCCCTGCGAATGCCATCTTGAATGATGGCGGAATATACGTCCGCGCCGAGCAATAAGTCGGGTCTCGATCGAGGTACTGCGAGTCCGTCAGCGGGAGGCCGCGAATATGAGGCCAGGTGTAGCTGTTTCGCACTATAGGTCCCTGGTACGATGAGAGACGCGGTAGGACGTACGCGAGGACGGAGAAAGATGCTCCTGTAACCGCAGAAGAAAGACTACACGAAAGTTTACCGCGAGTTTTTCCGGACGCTCCTCCAATGCCTGCAACGAACATTGAGGAACGGATTCGCGGCAAACTCAGGCGCTGAGCCAGGGCCTCGGAGACCAGAGAGACTTCTGATCCCTGGTCGATTAGTGCCCGAACGTCTTGAGGTCTTCCCAAGTGGTCGCTGATGGTGACGCGTGCGGTGGCGAGGAGGATCGCTTTGCGGTCCGATGCGAGTCGGGTAGCGGAGAGAGAACTCGCTCCGTCGGCAGGCGTGTAAGCTTCGTGTAGCAAAGTGTGGTGTTTGGCCTTACAGATGAAGCAGGTTTTGACCGATTGGCATTTGGCCAGGAAGTGGTTACCGAGACAGTTGTAGCAAAGCTTGCTTGTTTCCACGATGGTTTTCCTTTCAGTCGCGAGCTTCGCCTTGAACTTGGAGCACTGCATTATCGAGTGCTTGTCCTTGCACACCGCGCACCTCGAGGAGTCAGAAGCGATTTTGGCGAAGTGTGACTTAGCTGATCGGGAGGATTCCCCGAATTTCACGACGGAACTCGGCTGCACGGCGTTGAGCGTGAGGATCTGCTTCGATATAAACTCCATTAAGATCGTCATTGCTTGGGGGATCGACGGAATCTCGTATCGAGGTCTCCCATTTCCTCCGGGTTTGCGGATCGAATCGCTCGACGAGCAGGAAGTTGAACAAGTCCATCCCGTTCGTGGCAATGGGCCTGTCAATGCTCTCTTGAGCGTTGATGGCAGTCGTGGCAACATTGAAAATGCGGCTCAGCTCGCTGGCGGTTGCGGCCTTCATTTTCGGCGCGGCGGTGTAAGCGGCGAAGTTTGCGCGGATGAGCTCCCGCTTGTTCTCGTAATGAGCGCTTAAAATTGACCACGCTCGCTCGTAATTGCCCCCGACGATTGGCAATGATCGTATCATTTTTTCCGCAGGGCCTGTCAAACTGGTACGGAGGTAATGAAGTTTCTCCACGTTGCAGACAGACGGATTGTCTCCTATTATGGACTGAAAGATATCACGAAACGCTGGCCAGTCTCCGTAATCGCCCGAGAACATCTGGAGCTTTATCCGCGGCAGCGAAGTCTTAAGTGAGTGCTCCGGTTGAGTCTCGTCCTTGGGCGCGATGAACGACTCGCCCTTAAGTTTGTTCGCGTATTCAACCAGCATGCTCCTTTGTGTCACGTATGTAGTTTCCGCAATATCAACAAAATCTGCTTTTGCGTACTCACTCTCAAGATATTTGTCTTTCAGCGCCGCTACGATGAGATCGTGATGGGTCTCGAATTTGGTCCATAAAGTCTCGAGGATGCGGAGGCGAGCCTGAATTGCCTCGGCGGTGATACTCGAGACGCCAATCTTGCGTAGATTATCCACGAAGCGAGACATTCGACCGTGGATGTCGTTTTGCGCTTCGAGTAAAGCCACCTCCTGGAGTAAAGCCTTTAGATCAGCACTCATGTCTGTTAATTGTCTGTCTGCACAGGTTCGCGCACTGGTTGGCACACAAGAACTTCACCCACGAACTGCGGATGCGGATCGACAAGATCCGGCTCGAAGGACCAGAAATGTTCGCGAATGAATGCGTCGTTAGTGGAGGCGCGCGACACAGAGTTTGTAAAGAACACCACACGATTGAAATAAAGAACGAGCCACGACACGTATATTTTTTTGTATTTTTCTAGAGTTTTTATTTTAAAGACACCACACAATTAAATATAGAAAGTTAATATATATAATTATTTCACAGAGTGAAATGTGAGAATGGAATTTCGTCCTCGGACTGTTGAGCGAAGCAACGAAGCGGTTTTGTCGAACGCGGTTCTACTAATAGCGAGCGGTTTTACTGTAAGCGGTTTAACTAAGCGGCGTAAAGTGCGAGACTCGAAAAAGTGCAAGACTTCGCCTGTTCCATGTACGGTGCCTAGCTATAAGCATCTGGCTCCCGATTAAATTTCTTTTCGCATCCTATAGCACACAACATCCTATAGCACACAAAAAGGACGTAATTATTGGTGACAAAATTTTTAAATTATCGCATCCTCGGTTTCATGAGAAGAATTTTAGACTAATTTTTGAGATATTTTCTAATAATGGTTATCCTACAAATTTCATTTTCTCCACAATCACGAACAGAATTAAGTCTCTTATTCATAACAGTATGGTGCCCCCTTCTTCTCCTACTTCCCATCCTTCCTCCTCTCCCTCTCATTCTTTCTTTGTGATTCCATACATAAAAGGTGTTTCCGAGCATTTTAAAGAAATTGCTGCTAAACTAGATAAATCTCTTGCTTACATCGTGTTAAACAAACTGAATCGTTTCATAAAAACGCATAAAGATCCATTACCGACAGATAACACAGGCCCACAAAAAAAAGTGAAGTTTAATGTCCATAAAAGAAACCATTGTATTCCTAAGTAATTTTTCCCGCTGAATCCGAATCTGAAATCGGTTTGACCGTATCACGTCAAGTTTAAGGTCATTTCAAGGTCAAATTGCGAAAAAATCACATGCGTAAAAGAACAATGTGTATGTCTATATTTTTGGGGTCGCTGAATTCGAATCCGTAGTCCGTTTGGTCCGACAAGGTTCAGATCAAGGTCAGTTCAAGGTCAAATGTGTTAATTTTGCTTAAAATGAATTTTTGACTGCAGATTCTGAAAGAACGGAAAATTTTACGTTCACATATGTATTTTAATTTTTTTTTTGTATCATAACATATCAAGACAAACAGCCACAACACTTATGATCTTTTGCTTTTTCTCACTCTTTTGTCTTCAAATGATCTGTGTACGGGAACACGGATGCGCACTCACATGCACATATTTACAAAAAAAGATGTACGCAAACGTACACAGACGTATACAAAAATGCGTGTATGCTTGAAAGAGCCAACGCAAGGCTGTACATATATTTCCATTAAGAAATCTCAATAATTCACTCACAGCACAGTGAGGACGATTGCGAGCCCGCTTGCTCGCCGAAACTCATCGCCGATACTCGGGTTCTGAATCCCTGGATCGTAACCGATTTCTGTGTGCCTACCATGACGGCAAAGTAAAGTCTTCATATCTGCCGAATTTATCTCTGAGGTACGCCGATTTACTTGCAGTTTTTATGATTTTAGTGGTAGTCATCTGGTGGTCGACTACCAAACTTACACTTGGAACACTTCCCGAGTAGTAACTTAACTTATTTCCTATGATGAAAAGAGAAAGTACTGTGGATGGAAAGAAGAGAAAGCGAAATCCACTACACAGATCATTTGAAGACAAAAGAGTGAGAAAAAGCAAAAGATCATAAGTGTTGTGGCTGTTTGTCTTGATATATTATGATACAAAAAAAAAATTAAAATACATATGTGAACGTAAAATTTTCCGTTCTTTCAGATTCTGCAGTCAAAAATTCATTTTAAGCAAAATTAACACATTTGACCTTGAACTGACCTTGATCTGAACCTTGTCGGACCAAACGGACTACGGATTCGAATTCAGCGACCCCAAAAATATAGACATACACATTGTTCTTTTACGCATGTGATTTTTTCGCAATTTGACCTTGAAATGACCTTAAACTTGACGTGATACGGTAAAACCGATTTCAGATACGGATTCAGCGGGAAAAATTACTTAGGAATACAATGGTTTCTTTTATGGACATTAAACTTCACTTTTTTTTGTGGGCCTGTGTAATCATTCAAATGTTGTATACAAAATTTGCTGTAATAATTGCTCCGCTTCTTACGTGAGACAGACAAGCAGGCAACTTTCGACTCGCGTCCGCGAACATCGATTGAACATCGATCGACCTATAATATATTTCTCAGTTTTGTCCCAGCATAGACTGGAGGGACATGAATTTTCATGAAACAACATCAAAATTTTGGATCAAGAATCCTTCGTTCCTTAGGAGGATTATTTCAGAAATGATTCACATTACACGACAGGACAATGGCTTAAATGTTCAAAATGACACAGAAAAATTCGACAAAATCTACCTTCCAATCATTAACTTTCCGACCGTAAATCACCTTTTATTTCCTACGATTTCAAATTACTATTTTCATACATGACCGTTCCTGAATTTCTTTCCCTCCCTCCCTCCCTTCTCGCCGTTATCGGGAGCCAGGCGCTTCAACATTGCGTAGCTCAGTACGTCTCGCTGTCTTGTATGAGTTACATGCCTTTTATACTTTACTAGTGTAATTACTCTCTTTCTTGCATTTTTTTGTCGTTTGTTTAACAGGCTTTCTTACTGCTTGTATGTATTTTTTCTTGATAATTTGCATTTATTAATTTTCTTTAATTATTGCTTTCTCACATTAATTTTTCTTTTTCTTTTTCTTTTTACTGTGATATGTGTTGCATGAACGCGTGTTGCTCTGCTCAATTTATTTTTCAAATCCAGGTTTATTTGGCTTGGGATTTATTAACTTGCAAAATAAAGAATCTTTTTGGCATTAAGCAAAGTGTGGATAGCGTGCGGTATCTCTGTCCTTTACTCGCATGCCATCGTTTTTCGACGCTATTTTTCCTACACAGTTGCGATCTCTGTGTATATACCTGGTGAGTAATATGCCGATATGTAGACATATCCACATCTATATTTTGTCATCCGAAGGTTATAAATCTATTTTTCTCTATTATATATTTCGATTTTATTATTGTATATTCCGCTACATTGATGAATATTTTATCTGCGCCGACTTTTTTTCATTAATTTGAATATTGACTGTGTATTTCGATTCAAATTCTGCGAACGTTATTATTTGCGAGCGACCTTTCACTCATTATATTTATATCTTTTGTATTTTCTATTATGTTAACATTGAGAAGGATCTGGAATAGATCGAAACGTTTGCGTGTACAATCGCATTTTTTAAATTCGAACTTAACCGGCGTCGAGAAACTTCTCGAAAAATCTATTTTACAACAAACTCGACCGTTCGAGTCATCTCTCGCCTTTTCCGCGCCATAAAAAACGCTCAGCATATACAATTGACAACAACATTGTCAACCGCCGTCAAAATCCACGCAACGGTCGGGCATGCGCGCCCATACGAGCTGATGGCCAATCAGCTGATCGAAAAAGGTCGTGCGCATGGCAAACGCCACAACGCTATTTCCTGACCTCATCGGCAGCCAATTATGCGCGGCGCCATGAGGTCACCGCCAAATTTTAAAGCTAATTGGGCCACGTCGCAACAGGGCCCAAAAACCGCCCGGTATATAATGAGCCCAGCGAGAGGGCACGCGGAAGTCTTGCGCTTTTCGGAGTCATTACTTTACACCCACACCGCTTAGTTACGCCGCTTTGTCAAACCGCTTATAACGACCGCTTGCTCTTTTCGGACCACCGCTTTTCTCTCTGTCTATATCGCTGACATATTTGCACGACGACCGCTAGTTTTCTTGGACACTGGTTTTTCTTGACGTTACACCGCTCGTGATATCCCGCACGAATATCGCACTATTCCGCTACACTGCTCGCGCCTTCGCTGTCACGCGTCGCCGCTGCACTCAACAATTGTTGACTTTAAAGTTCTGACTGCAATAAAGTTCTGCTATTTTTAACTGGCGTTTTCACTGAACTATTATCACTTTTCCGCGGCTCACTGTCGGACTCGCTCGCGAACATTCTGGTCCTTCGTTGTTTTAGTAATTCTAACAATTTTTTTTCATATTACATCTATACCTTGTGGTTTTTTCTTGCTTAAATTATATTAATTATATTTAAATTTTTAATTCAAACTGCGTTAAAAATCTGACTTTGTAACAAATTTTGGAAGAGTAGCTCTAGTAGTAATCCTAGTTTGTCTAAAAGCATCTCTAGCATTGTTTCCACATACAGAAGACGCAGCTTCGGTAACAAGTTTAACGCACCGTTCAACTGCTTGTGAGTGGCAGTGAAAATTCAATATATTGATTATCTCTGGAATATTTCCAATCATATTTTTCAAATTTTCGCGAGAAAGATTTTTTAAAAGCGGAGGGGCAGTTAAGTTCGGAAGTTGCCAGTCAATCAATTTAGTGTAGTCTTTATTCTAGTGTCAAAATTTACTGTTGATACTTTAAATATACGAATTTTGTTAAGAGCAAAGGATGAATTAACTTTAAATTTCAGCACTCGTTCCATAGCAAGTTCTCTTATATGTTGCCTCTCATCTGCAATCATTGCAAGCAATATATTTTCTGGGTGTGCAAAGTAGCCATTTCTCTGGATAACAGGATCAATTATGTTTTTAATTGCAGATTCTTGACTTATAAATCATATTCCACAAATGCAAAATACCATGTCTACAAGTTGGTTTGTTTTTAATCTCGAACCAAAAACTGGAGCATACACTTTAACAACAAACTGTACCAAAGTTCGTAGATTTTTATTAGGATTCACACTTGAGACATATAATCATAGAATTCGATTAGCTAGTGTTAACCATCTGGAATGATTAAGTTTTCCC